AATGGTTTGTCGGCGATATATACATATGACTATGCTAAGTGCCGCAGTTTAGGGGAAAAGGATGACAATCGAGCATACAATCCACCTTAAGAGGGGATTTTGTAACCCATGGACATCTACGTCTATCCTTGAGTAAGTATTAAAATGCAGAATTCGTTGTAGGCCCTGAGGAACAAGGTGGTATGTATCGTTTCCAGTTAAAATGATCTGCGCTTCTCTAAACTCACCATAAGAAACATAGCAGCTTTAAGCTGCTATTTCCGTTATTCTGTGAGAGAATGGTGTAATAACTCTCCAACTAGGTGTTTGCTCAAAAAAGTCTAACAGATTTCAAATAACTATTTCACTACCTTATATTTGCCCGTATAGGTCTCAAAATGTGACAGAGGAATATGAAACGGTAGAAGCAGAATGTGCATTATGAAACAGGCGTTTGCTAATCTCCTAAGGATTCATACAGACACACACCTCTTTCATACTCGTAATGCTAATGTGTTGGCAAATATTCCACGCAATCTTTGGTCTATTTTCAGCAGAGAAATTTAGATATTCTGTCGTGATAACGATGATCATGATTGAGTAAAACTGCTTTTATGGCTTTTACTGCGTTTTACTTTTTTTTTAACCTTCGAAGTTTCGTAAATTTAAAATTAAAAGCGATGAAATCCATAAAAAATTGTTTGATATTTTTTTTTCATTTATATATCAGATCAAAAAATTACATTCAGATATAGGTTTAATTAACATCTAAAAACCACGGAAGTTTACTTTGATGCTAAATACTTAAATTTAAGTCAGCGAACTATGTACAAAACACAGTTTAAGTCAGTATTTAGGTATATGAGTAGGTAAAGACTAAAAATGTAAGTTAACAACTTAGTTAAACTCAGAAGTAGCAAGGTAAAAGTAAGAGCTAGGCAGGTAGTACATTATTATTAAGTAAATATAGTAGGTAATTATAATTTAGATAGGAAAAAATTTTTGAGTTTAGTTTTAATATTTTGTTGTGATACTTTTTCGCGTACATCCTAAGGTAAGTTATTTATTAAACGCGGTACCTGATAAGCGGCCGTCCGTAGCCTGTAAATAATACTACTAACAATATAACTAATGTTATATTGTTCATGGCTTGCATACTATACATTACATGTGGTAGAGTCTTGATGCAGCTACATTACGGTTGTAGCACGAATGGGTTGGCGCGACCAGAGAAGGAACACGCTCTCACATATCTTCTGATCTCACATCTTAGTCTTAGTATAGAGAACCGGAAACCCTTTTTACTGGAAATTAGGCATCAACGTCTTAGTCGTTAGGGATGGCAACGCATCTGCATTTTGATTATTAATCGGGGATAGATATCTATGGGCCGCAGTATCCACTTACCTTCAGGTGGACTGTGTGCTCGCTTGTCACTCATATTATATATATAAAAAAAACACTAGAGATCAGAAAAAAGTGATCTTAAGAAGATTATGACTTAAGTTATGAAAAAACTGCAATGGAAGAGATTTTTGTTAAAAGGATAGTGGCATCGCTTATAAAATATAGTAGGGGCTTAGGCCCGGGAATATAATAGAATAGAAAAACTTTATTCAATAGAGATTACAAGAATAATTGCTAATCATTTAATCTTTAACATTTTTACAGAAAAAAACTATCTATTTTACTATTAACTTAACTATTTATTCTAACCTGGAAGGGACCAGCAAAAACCCAGCGGGACTTTTTAGATAAAATAACAGTATACTATTTTATGTAATAAGGATTAAAACCTTTAGAAAGAGCATGCTAGCGATTATTGATAGGAGGTCTGGACCTAGGCTGCCACGAATTAAGACATGACATATTTTGAAAAAGTTACTTATGTTCCAAAAGCACATGTGATTTATGTCTACTTACAAATTATTTCTTCTTTAAAATACACATGAATCTGTGCTTTAAAGACGATACACTTTCATTAATTGTTAGCCATATAAACATTTTTTCCGTACACGATTCGAACCCATGGCTACGCAATTCCACAAACCCTTAGCAACTGCGATTCCAAACCAACTTATTTAACAAAAACGTTAACATATTATCAATTATTTGTGTACGACTAAAACTTTTAAAATAGTAGAATTAAATGAAGAACAGATGGTAGTTGTACCGCCGTATATTGTTAGCTTTCAGACATTTGTCGCATTTCTTATTAGCCTCGTAGTTGAGGGCGTCCGTGAGCTACCTCTATCCCTATATAGGTAATTATGTATACAAGTAGTCGCCTAGTAGCTGAAATTCGACCGTTATACATTGAGTTTTTATTTTTGTATATCTAGCAAGTTATATTTCACGTAAATATATAAAACACGGGTTTCTTATTGCCATACACACCACACACTATTGAAAACAGGACATTTGAAATCACACAAAATAACGGCTTATTCAGTCAACCTATCAGTAATTACTTATTTGCAACATTTTAACATTATTTGGCAATATTCTCTACTCTATGCAACGGTTTGAAAACAGAATATTTTGTGTTTGACATTGGCGGTATGAATGTAAACAATCTATGTTTTATTTAATTAAATTAAATTTATTTGTTATACATTAGATTTCTGCACTTCTTCACCATATAAACCATAAATATACCAATATCTCAAACTCTGTGTGCACAGCATGCTTCAAAATGGGTACAAAAAATTTTTCCTTTACGTATTAATATTCCTGTAGCTATAGTTATATCTGTATACGAAATTATAATTCGTTAATATTAGCTCACACTAAACCGATTATTCAAATATATTGTGATCATGAACACAGTATACAATTATAATATGATTGATTACACAACCACTAGCAAACGTTACAAGGTGTTATCTAGTTATGTATCAAATATGTTTCTTGTTTATGATTTATAGCTGAATCTGTTCTCTAGTATATGGTTTTCTTGTTCTAAATACATTTGTAAATAATATTTGAAATTTACGTTCTGTCACTAATTCTTATATAGATATACTATATGAAAAATACCTGTTACGAGTTAGAGTTGCGTCGCAATCACGTGAAAGTTCTGTAAAGGTGTTAAAAGATATACAAGGAATTCTTGTATATCTTTTAACTCCAAAAATCACATTTCATGCACCTTTGTATCGCTTTACAAACTGACCATGTCGCTATCGTACCGCTGTTTTAGTAATAAATTGGGCCCTTTTCAGTGGTATAGAAGTGATTGAAAAGTTCTCTATCGTTACTATAATACTTACTTATGAAGGTAAAGCCATTAAATATACCTGTTAAGCGGCTATCGTAGCACTTTGTTAAACCGATTTTATGTTACTTGGGCAAGTACTGTAGAACAGAAATTTCATAGATTAAAGCTTTTATTACTTATATTAAAGCTTCGATCTTGGCTTTTAGGTCGATTTTATCATGACCGTAATATTTCGCTGCTAGTGCTGGAATTTTTGACTGAATAACCAGACGTCTCGTAAATTTGACGCTACCCTCTGACATGAAACTTTACATGTCAAGGATTTGATTAGAACCAGTATCTCGTCGTAAATTCACAATTCGCAACAAACTCACGTTTTTTATACGTGGTAGAGCCATGCTGCAATTACATTAGTAGTATAGTTGTAACACGAATAGGTCGGCTCGACCGGGGAAAGACCACGCCTTCACAGAATACCAGCGTGAAATAGTAGCTTAATGCTGCTGTGTTTGTATAGTGAGTGTAGAGAACCGGAGACCCTTTTTACTGGAAACGAGGCATTCCATCTAAGTCCACACGGGTGACAACGCATCTGCATTTTGATTTGTAATCGATGAGAGATGTAGATGTCTATGGGCCGAATCAACCACTTACCATAAGGTGAACTGTGTGCTCGTTTGTCATCCTATCCTATAAAAAACCCAGCTTCTATCATCGCCAACAACAATGAAATTGTTAGAATTTACCTACTGATTTACCACGTGCTCGTCAATGAAGAAATATATTATTAGGAAAAAAATCTCACCAAATACAAGGCAGCGAGATATACTTTTATAAAGCTCTCATAAATGATTGAAGGCTAGTAACACTCCCACATATCGTAGGCTATGGGATCTTTCTGACATTTTCCATAGTCGTCCACTATGACACTTATGGGGCAAAATGAGAAGGTGGGTTTTCTCACCTCGCCACCATATGGTGTAATATATATTTAGAAACGGAATATTAGACGATGAAATAATTGGAAAATTACATAGATGATAGGTACAGCACAAGCGAGGAAAAATAAGGCAGAATGAGGCATAGGTGATGATAATAGACATATTAAAAGTAGTGATTTTTTTTACTTTTAAACGTAATGACTTAAGACGAGTGTCTCGGTGCGTGTTGTTTTTTTTGTTGTGTTAATTATACCTAAATATTTAAAAAAAAAACATAAGTAAATTTAGGAAAAACGAAGTTTATTTAAAAACCTTTTCCTCATACTTCCCTTAACTTATATTAAATGTTATTAATTTATTTTTTCACATAAATTTTGTGTCAAAATATACAATTTGGAATAATTTTAGTCCTTAAATTATCATCTCCCGGATCTTTGTTAACTTGTCAGTAGCAGACGAAACGAAAATATTCCTTTAAACTCGAACAATTTACTAAAGTTATCGACCTTTAAGAGTAACAAAACAAGTTGGTATCAGAAAAGTAATTAACCCTCGGTTGGTCGCGTGGCGTCTTTAAAAGCCTAGGTATTTTTAAAATGCAAATATTTTATTGTTAATACTATCATAGAAACTTGAAATTTCAGGTACCCTAAGTTTGATTACAGTTTTTGCTGATCGCTGCTAAGTTCCGTGCCCGCGCAGGCGTCGTGAGATACGGAAGGTTATTTTGTGCGTAGGCTTTCAAAGACCCCACGCGACTAACCGCGTAAGTAAAAAGTGATTGGAACTTATTTTTTATTTACTTGTAGCCATTATGTTTTGATGATTTTTCTGTTGTTTTAGGCTTTTTAGTTACTATAATGGACGCTCGACAACAAGAACGCATATTGCACTGGTTGGAGGAGGAGGAAGAGGAGATTCTTGGTGGAGAGGATGATGAAGATGGAAATCATATATACTCGGACGAAACAAGCAAACACAACACGGATTCAGAGCAAGAATGTGATGATGGTGATCCAGAAACCCAGGATCATGTGTCAGAATCGTCTGAAGACCAATAAATGGATGTAGATAGTTCGGATAGTGACGATAATGAGCCATTGATCCACATGTCATCACAGAACTTTTATTTTGTCAAAAAAAAAAGATAAAAGTGGCCACTATAAAACAATTTGCAAATGGAGGAAGACACCGTACCCACAGGGTATCAGAACAAGGAGACCGAATATAGTTACAGAGCAACCAGGCCCACAGGGTACAGCTCGGACGGTGAGTAACCCCTTTGAATCTTGGCTTTTGTTTTTGGACGTTGAAATTGTTACACGCTAAAATCGGCGCACTAGCGCCATCTAGTCTCGAACCGAAGAACTAAAACTTCTTGAAGTTTAAAACTCGAACTCTCGGTACTTTGCGCGTGTTTACTTGAACATTCTGGATATTTTACTAATTTATATAAGTAGGCGCTGCAAGATGCGATCGGGTAGAGTTGAACTCGGCGAAGCTTCGGAGCGGAATTAAGTGAATTAGTGTGTTTAATTATTAGTGTTTTTAGTTTTAATTTGTGTAAAGTAAATTAAAGTGTTAATTTAGGTAATTTTATCGGCAATTTTTATTGTCACGAACCTCAAGCTCGTAACAATTGGTGTCAGAAGTGGGATAAAATCATGCCGATTTTACCTAAGGAGGAAACCGAGGGTGTCCGTACCCGAAGTCAACGCCAGCAGGAGACGGAACAACGAAGATTTGGTGGTGCAACGCCGCAGACGTCGGAGGGCCAGCCACCGGCTGAAGGCCCGTCGGTAGCTCCTACATCTGCAGCACCTGACTTAGGTGCTCTGATGGTGATGCTGCAGGAGCAGGCTCGCCGACAGGAGGAACAGGCTCGCCGACAGGAGGAACAGGTCCATCAGTTGAAAGAGCAGCTGCAGAGCGGACAGGAGGAACAGGCCCGCCGATTGGAAGAGCAGCTGCGGGGGCGGACAAGAGGAGCAGGCCCGCCGACAGGAGGAACAGGCCCATCGGTCGGAAGAGCAGATGCTCCTCATTAAGGACTTTCATGCTACCTTTGGGAAAGAGATAAAGGAGGTAAAGGATAAGGTTGCTCAACATGACAACCGCCTGTCGGAAGCTGAAACCCAAATCGACCAAGTGAACAATCGGGTTGATTACGTGGTGGCTGACGTGAAGAAAACGCTGGACGACCTCAAACTGGGTGATGGAACTACAGCTCCCGTAGTAGCTACTACACCTTCGCTACGTGGGTTCAAAGTGCCACCGTTCAACGGGACTTCTTCCTGGTCAGCCTACAAAATCCAGTTCGAGGCTGTTATGAAGGCGAACGGCTGGAATAAAAATCAGGCCATGACTGCTCTCACACTAGGCCTGCGTGACCAGGCCTTAACAGTTCTGGAAGCTCTCGGTGAGGAAGTAACTTATGAGCAACTCCTTGAGGCATTGGAGGTGAGATATGGCGACGCTCACCTGGAACACGTGTTTCGTGCGCAGCTTAAAGATCGCGTGCAGCGCATCAACGAAAACCTGCAGCAGTGGGCTCTAGAGGTGGAGAAGCTGGTGCGAAAAGCATACCGGTCTGTACCTGCGCTCATTGAAGGGAACCTGGTGCAGACATTCATCGACGGCATCCGTGACCTGGAAGTCAGAGCTGCTGTGAGGCTCGGGCACCAAGAGACGCTTAAGAACGCCTTGGCCCATGCACTGGAGGTGGAAGCCGTGCGGCAGGATCATCGTTCCCATCGCGTCAGGGGAGGTTGCAGCAGCTACAGACCGTGACCGCAGCAAAGGATACAGCCCTAGGTGCTATGGCTGTGGGGAAAAGGGCCATCTTCGATCCAGCTGCCCTAAACTAACCGTGGAAAGGAGAGTTGATCGATCTCGAGAAGGTAGTACAGCTAACGGCACTGCCTGGCGGCGACAGGATCATCGTTCACCTCACGCTAGGGAGGTTACAGCAGTTACGGTTCGCGACCACAATAAAAGATACAGCCCTAGGTGCTATGGCTGTGGGGAAATGGGCCATCTTCGGTCCAGCTGCCCTAAGCACACCCTAGGAAGGGAAGGTGAACGGTCTCAGAAAGGAAGTGCGGCTAACAGCACCGCCCAGCAGCAGCAGGAATACGACTTTACTATCAGACACTGCAGCGGGAAATCTCACGGCAACGCAGATGCATTGACAAGAAGACCTTGTCCTGAAGATTGCAACCATTGTAGTATGCAAGAGAGTAAGGAAGTGGTATCCGTGAGGATGCTCAGGACACACCACCTCAGCAACGGGTGGAAGGACAGCCTACGACATGCACAGCAGGAAGATCCGGACATCAAGCCGATTCTGGGATGGATGAAGGCCCGTGCTACCAAGCCTAAGTGGAGGGACGTCTCAGCGATGAGTTCAACTACGAAAAGCTATTGGGCCCAATGGGACAGCTTGCTGATTCAGGATGGAGTCCTGTGCCGTAAATGGGACAGTGGTCGAAGGGACAGCTGTCGTTTGCAAATGGTTGTCCCTAAAGCTAAAGTGCCGAATGTTCTACAGCTGTGCCATAATGGTCGTTCAAGAGTCCATCTGGGAGTTAAACGAACTCTACTGAAGGTCCGAGAACAGTTTTACTGGGTCCATTATCGTGACGATGTCGAGGATTGGTGTCGTACATGTACAAGTTGTGCGGCCGTGCGGGGACCTCAGACACGTAGTAGAGGAGCACCGAAATTGTACAATGTTGGTGCACCACGGGATAGAACAGCCCTTGACATTGCGGAGCCGTTACAGAAAGGCGCAAGAGGGACTCCTAAGATCGTCCATGTGGAACGCTTGGCGCGTTATTATGGGACCGATAATGCTCGGGACGAGCATGTCTTAGGAGGGGGCAGTGTTACGCGCTAAAATCGGCGCACTAGCACCATCTAGTCTCGAACCGAAGAACTAAAACTTCTTGAAGTTTAAAACTCGAACTCTCGGTACCTTGCGCGTGTTCACTTGAACATTCTGGATATTTTGCTAATTTATATAAGTAGGCGCTGCAAGATGCGATCGGGTAGAGTTGAACTCGGCGACACAAGCGAAGCTTCGGAGCGGAATTAAGTGAATTAGTGTGTTTAATTATTAGTGTTTTTAGCTTTAATTTGTGTAAAGTAAATTAAAGTGTTAATTTAGGTAATTTTATCGGCAATTTTTATTGTCACGAACCTCAAGCTCGTAACAATATGTTGCAGCATATTGTGGAGTGCACGAATATAAAGATAGCATCTATGCAGACAAATTACGAGAGGCAGCGTGACTGTGAGGAGATCAATATCATTGAGCTAAAAGCGTTGATTGGTATTATGTATCTGATTGGTATTCATAAATCGTCACATGCTTTGATTGATGATATTTGGATGGCTGATGGTACGGGGTTAGATAAATGCCGTGCTACTATTAGATAATATTCATACACGGGAACAACGCGAAGCCGTTGACAAACTAGTGCCAATAAGAGAGATATTTGAGCAATTTGTAAAAAATTACCAGACAAATTACAAGAACACTGAATATGTTACTATAGATGAAATGTTGGAGAGTTTTATAGGCTCGTGTGGATTTCGCCAATATATGCCAAGCAAACCAGCTAAATATGGCATAAAGTTGTTTTCTCTAGTGGATGCCATGACATTATACACAAAAAACTTAGAAATATATGTCGGAAAACAGCCAGAAGGTCCCTACTTTCAAGATACATCAACAAAAGCTCTTGTCAAACGAATGATTGAACCAATATCAGGTACAGGACGAAATGTGACCATGGATAACTGGTTTACTAGTGTTCCGTTAGCTGAGGACCTATTGACAAATCATAATTTGACAGTAGTGGATACATTGAAAAAAAATAAACCAGAAATTCTAAGTGAATTCAAGCGAAAAGGCTTGGAAGTACATTCCACAGCGTTTGGATATAAACCGACAGAGACTTTGCTCTCATACTGCCCAAAAAAGGATAAAACAGTGTTACTACTTTCAACTATGCACAATGAGGGTATAATAGATGAGACATCCAAGAAAAACATTCCAGAAATCATAATTTTTTATAATAAAACGAAAGGTGGCGTAGACGTGGTGGATAAACTTATCGGAACTTACACTGTTGCACGCGTTTGCTACCGATGGCCGTTGAGGTTGTTCTTTACAATGCTCGATGTTGGAGCGGTAAATGCCCACATAATATTGGATACCGTAAATTCTAGCAACCGAATAGGTCGCAAGTTATTCTTGAAAACGCTAGCATTCGAACTATGTCGTCCTCAGTTGGAATCACGGGCCATATATCATATCATATCAACTTTGCCACGCGAATTGAAACAGCTTATTCTGCGATTCGTACCTCGTCCCGTGGATGTTCCTCACAAAGATACTCGTTTCGTACCTATGAGGAAACGATGTATTCACTGCACCAGGGGAACAGATAGAAAATTTAAAACTATCTGCATTTTTTGTAAGGGTAAGTATAAATATATGTCCAATACATTCAAAATCAGTATGTACTGACTGTGTTCAAATGGAAAATTAGTGTCAATTTGAAACGCAAAAGTAAATATTTTTTTGTTGGATCTACTTACATTTCTTTTTATATTGTTAAATAATGCCTTAAAATACCAAAAAAAAAAAAGGTTAACACGATTTTATTTTATTACAAGAAATATATATTTTTTCCTCTAAGTCATGTAAAACACTAAAAATTTTGTTCCTATTTTCTAATTTTAAGTTTCAAGAAGTTAATAAACATTTATTTTCTAATAAATTATAGTCTTTTTTTATTCAAGTTATATAAATAAACAATTATATGATAAAATAAATAAGAAAATAATAATTGTAAAGTGTTTTCTACGCTGTTAAATTTTATTTTTTAATTTAAACTTAAAATTTTAATTTAAACGCGACCAACCGCGTAAGTTTAAAAGCGCGACCAACCGAGGGTTAACCAAGTTCTTGCATCATTAGGCGATCCAAATTCGATTTAATGTTTTCTATCGGTTTTCGTACATTACGTGGTAGCCTCGGCGTAGCTATGCT